CTTCCAGCAGAGACAAGAACGGCCAACTAGGGCACGCCGGACAACTACCTGCTGCTATCCCGAGCAGCTGCCGACTATTGCGGCTTGATAAAGAAAGCTATATACCACATCCTCATGACTTCTCTCACATCCGCAGGCTTTGCCCGAGCGGCAGAGGATTCGTCGTTCTGTACAAAGAGGGCCGGATGTGCGGCTTCCTCGTGTAGTGCTTTTTGTAAGCTGTCGACGTATGCGTCAGTCGGCTCACCTACAGGGGCCGATATTCCCATGGTCTTGTAATGACCTGAGTCTGGGGTGCTACCGATGTGGTACACAACGGATTTGAGCTCGTAGGCCACCGGCCGAGTGCTGAGTTCCTCGTCAAAGCACGGGACCTGAAGTCGAGCGGGAAGTGCGGTTCGATGCTCCAGTTTGTGGATTTCTCCACCTCTCCCAGCCGCAAAGCGCATAAGCTGGACGCTGAGGATGGCTGGGGACGTTGCAAGTCCGGTTATGTGACCGGTGTCTTGCTCGTACGCCCAATCCTCAATCAGTGTTTGCAGGTCTTTTTCCCGCTCACATGGGAGAGTGATTAGTGGCACAGAGTCCACCTGCTGATGCACTCTGACGTGGGGCCCATCATTGAGGCGGGCATCCCAGCGGCCTAGCAGACCGGGAATGTTGGCATTTGCGGCGATGAATGTAAGTAGCTCGGCGGCGTCATGCTGTTGATGCAGATTCTGCCAGCCCTGTAGCAGGGCGAGCCACGCCCTCCGGCGATGCAGCTGGACAGTGCCTGTCGGCCGGAGCAATGGTTTGAGAAGCGGGTGCAGGTCCCCAAAGGTGCTGCTTCTGTCTGAGGCCATGGCGACGTAGTTCCACATAAGGGCCTGAGTGATGGAATTAAGATAGCACAGGTTGCTAGAGTTAGCCAGAGCGAGCGCAGGGGGGTCCTGAAGAGGGACGGGGGTGCCAATTGGTGCAGCAGTCGCATTTTGCCCGGAGCGGACGTCTGTGTCGAGTGTCTGCGATGTTGAGGCGTTCCCCG